AAAATAACACATTGTGAAACCAAGTGTAAAAAAAGAAACAAAAAAAATTAGGTGCCTGTTGTATCACGGCGCTTACAGGAGTCTCATGTCGCTGTAATGCCCTGTGTGCCTGTGGCCTTGCCTCTGCCTGGCTGTCACCTCGTGCTTCCCAGTGCTGGGACACTGTCACCTGCGCAGCCTCTGGACCATCGGGGTGAAGAGGTGAGGGGAGTCAGTCTGAACTTCTTTCTGCTGACTGTTGATGCTCCCTGGTGTCCCCAGAGCTGTTAGGTCACTTGTCACTTCAGAACTGCCCTGCAGGGAGCAGGTTGTACTGGGAAGGAGATTCTGTAGTTTGGGGTACAGGGAGCTGAAAGATGGTTGCGGAACTCCTTGCTTGTGGTACAGCCTCCACCGCAGAGGAAGTAATCTAGGAAATGATCAAAAACGTTTGAGAGAGGGAGATCACCCTCTGATCTGTAAACATCTGGGATGTCATTGACGTCTTGCCCAAAAAGTTTAACTGTATTACGCTCACTAACATAATAGCATATAGCAGAATACACTACAGTTGAATTTTCAGATATATTAATGAAAAAACCTTTATTCATTATGTTTAGCTGAAATTAGGTAATACCTGAAAGATTCAAAGTCGTCCGTGGAGAATTTTGAGAACTAACTTAGTAATTTGAACTACTTTTTAAAACTAATTTTTGAAGGCAGAGGCAAGGTGTCAGTGCATTTTAGCACATTAAATTTATTTCCAAATTGCTCAGTTAAAGTGTAGCCAAAGATAATCCTTCCTCTTCTACAAGCACAGAAAGCTGCATTCCTGATTCTTAACATTTTTTTCCTGCTTAGCAAATAGTCCTATAAAATAGTAACGTTTCACGTTGCCTTTCTGTTCGCTAGTTCATACAAAGAATTCGTGGCGGGTGTCATTGGCCCGGCTCGCCTCATATCCTCTTCTAGCAGGACAAGGCTGTGTACCAAGTCCCTTCCTTGTCATAACCTTGGATGTACTTCTATGAAACATTGGACCCGCTGTGCCCAGGCTTCTGTCCCATGCACAGTTTGTCTGTATCGTCTGCAGAACACCCTGTGGTACCTGCACCTTTTTCTTTCCGTTTCTTTTAATCTAGAATCAAATCCACCATAAAAATATATACACATTCCAGAGGGCAGATCCTGAGCCTAGTTTTATCCCTTATTTAGTGGAAAATCTACTTCTTTCTTGTTGACTCCGCTCCAGGCTTCTTCCTAAGGCTTGCACTCTTTGCTGTACGCTCCAAGGAAAGGTGAGAAGTGCCGTCCTCGCCCTGCAGTAGTCATGAGCCCGGTGTTTACTGAGCACTCCGAAGATGTGGATTGAAGCCTCTTGAAGTAGAGGAGGGCGTAAAACCCCAGATTCCCGTCACTGAGCTATTACACAACAAGTGTGGGAGTAGCCTGCTGCTGTTAATTTCTTTCTGCGCTGAAGTCGCAGGCTTTTGCTGTTAAAAGGCTTGTTTTCAGTGGAAGGTTAGGCCAGGTGCATGTAGGACATCTTGGACCTTCTCAAACCTTTCTTGCTGCCT